TACAATATAAATAAGATAACCATCATCCACATACACACGTCTACGTTGCATAACGATGAAAATAAATGAATATCGGGTTAATTAAATTTAATCGTTTCTAAACCGCCTTTCTCGTAAAAATAATTAATTTTAAAATACTTTTCCTACCGATATTTAAATTTATGGATTAAATTCCCATATTTAAGAAGTCGTTTAAAACAATGGTATGAATGATTCTGGGTTAAGTAGCCTTTGAACTTAGTTAATTGGTTGATAAACTGAATAAATTTTAACCATGAAACTCGCCTCACTAACATGATTTACTGACCTTACAGGTCATTTTCTGCTCTCATTCGTTCTTCGTGTCACAAAAATGCCAGAGTTTCTTTCTAGATATTCTTTCGGATGAATAGTTACGTTGGCAAGATTTAAACTACATTTTTCTTCTCTAAAAATTGATATTTTTACTTGTTCAAACGTAGCTTTAAAACCCATTCCACACTATACTCAATTGACTAAACGGAGATTATTTATAACTCTGGATGATAATTCGATGAAAGAAACTAATTTATATGATTAAATATTAAATATATGCAAATAGAAGAAGAGTTTTTAAAATATAATCTTCGACTCATTTATTATTTAAGACAACAAATTAGTAACAGAAGAGGGAATTTAGTTTTTTTCTTTGGTTTTAAATCTTATTTTTCAGAAGGTTATGAAATACTAAATTACCACTTATAAATTTTAATAAGTCAAGAATTTATATTTTTACACGATATTATAATTTATTCAATTAAATTTAAGTAGAATAATGTTCAGAAAGTAAACATAAATAGTGTCTGGTTACATAAATTTATCTTTTAACTGCGTTAATTATTGAATTGTTTTTATGACTATCGTTCGTCTTCCTTTACAATTAAAGGAAGAAATTAATAATAAATCTCTCGGAAATGTTTTTTTTAAATTAAATTTTATAATATTTTAAACTATATTCGAGTTACTATAGCAATATATTATATATAAAATATATATAAAAAAAAAAGGTTCATTCGTTTAGCCTAGAGCGGATTAGATTTCTTTTATTCTTTTCTTTTTATGATTATAGAATGAACTTTGTTAATGATGTTGATGGTTTAAAATGTTAAATTTGTTTTTAATTATTTTATTTTCGATTTAAATAAAATTATTTTTTTATATTTATTAAAGATGCGAGAGATAAAATTGCCATTGGATGAGATGGGAATTCTTTTTCATGCCACGTTTAAATGAGGTTTGAGATCATAAAATACCAAAATCCAATTAGCAACGTTTTTTTTTGTTTTTTGTATTAAAGTACGTTATGTTAATTTATGTTTTATGAGTTTAACATTAATAATTTTTTTTTTCATTATTTTTCGATACATAAATAACTTCGTGTAATTTTTTCTTTTAATTTTTAATCGTCGAAAAATTATTTTGTCAGTTTTTCTCAATTGTAAGAGATAAAATAACCGCCCATAAATGTAGTTAATAATTAGTAAATAGAAAAAAAAATTATCAGATGTTTTATTTATTTATTTTTATAAATATCTTTAATTAAAAGAAACAGGCTTTCATGGAGAAAAATTAAAGCAATAAATTAAAAATCGCTTTTAGAGTTAGAAAAATGTGTTTTAATTAATTAAAATACAGTTTTTTTCCAGCTTTTAATGTTGTCCACGTTTATTTAAAACATGAAAAAAACATTTTAAATTCTATACGATTTTATTTTTAATGTAAAACTCTTATTATTTTTACTGCAAAGTTAATGATAATGTATTTACTAAGTGATGAAGATGATAGAGAAAATGTCATTACAGTTAAGTTTTTAATCGTGGTCTAATGAAAAGTATAAATTACTTTCCGAAAAATATATCTTGTATTAAATATATACTATCGTAATGTTTTAATTGAAACAATAAATTTATATAATTTCTTATAACTTCTCTAAACAGTAAAGTGTTCAGAGAAGGATTCTCTATACTAAGCTCTTTTGGAAAAAGTTAGAAAAGGAAAAGAGCCTATGATAATTTAGCACAGATATATCCTAACTTATTATTTATAACCAAAGAACATTTATCATAGATAAACAAGGTAGAGAGCGTGAATTATCTTCCCTCATCTCATTCCAGTAAGTGTTGGATTAATGAGAAATATCGCTCAACAGATGAAATACAATTGCTTTCGCATCCTTCCGGAAAACATCTCAATTTGTGCTTTCATCCAAATCATTTTCTTAATCAATTATACTTTATTATTCATTAATATGAATTATTTATCTGTTAAATTCTTTTTTTTCAAATGCTTTAATAACCTCTAAACAAGGACAATTTCTTATATTCTTGCCAGTGGTCGTTGTTCAGAGGTTCTGTATTATTTTAGGCTTATATACAGCTTTTTTTTAAAATAATTTAAAACAAAAATTACAATGTTACTTCATTTAAAATTTATCAAGCATATTTATTGTTTTAATTTTAAAGAATAAAATCTTATTAACGCTTAAAATTTCATAAATATAATTCTAGAAACGTGTTAACTATGGATATTATAACGCTCCTCTCTCTCTCTTTTTTTTAAATATAATACAGATCTTTTAAAGTAAGCTTTTAGAGACGTAAATCGCTATCAACAATAATGTTCTCCTTAATTAAATCCCAACGTAATTGTTTTAATTACTACCAACTACCGAACTCTTACCATTTCACATTAATATACTAAACATTAACGCTATAATGTAACGCCCAATATAAGTTAATATTCTCTTTAAGATAATGTAAATATACTTTATCATTACATAAATGATAACATTTACATAATTCATTAAACCACCTTTACTATTTTAATGTATATGTTACAGTCAAAACCCGTTTTTAGTTAGAACGCGTTTTAACTAGTTGAAACTAGTTTATACTGAATGCCTTTGTTAAAACCCGTTTTGTCAAGTTAAAACTAGTTTTAACTCAAATTCATTTTTGACTACAGTAAATTCTAGTTTTAACTAGACAAAACCGGTTTTGTCTAGTTAATTTACTGCTGTATATGTTTTGACTTTAGATAAAACTAGTTTTAACTTTTAACATTAGTTAAAACTAATTTTAGCTACATAAATATGTTTGNTAACCACCAAAATTTAAAAGTATCAATGCCTTTAATATCAAAACCTCTTTGCAAAATTTCAGAAAGTTTTGACAAAAGGCACAGGAGTTATTAAGCTTCAAAGTGGGCGAACAAAGTCGTGTCCTTCCAGACACACTAACGTCCACACATATAGAAAAAACTCCACGTTTTTTTACATTTGTTGACGTTTCAACGTCCCGAATCCAAAAATAAACATTTTAGAGGGGTATTCTTTGACCGATCTCCATATTTTCCTATTATATAGGCCTATATAACAGCAAGAAAAGTAAAAATTGTTAACAAATTCATACTTAGTGGCTAAAAATGTATTTTTCTTTATGTTAAGTTCTTTCTCTTGTTAATTTATGTAAATTGTAATTAATACTTTGAATTCTCTTGAATAATTAACAGTTTATCTAATTAGTAATTTCGTGAGAAATTTTTTTTTTCTATTGCCTACGTATTCGTAAAAGAAAATCTATTGAGAAATTCATTGATACGAAATCTAATTGAGCATTATTCTCCCTAACGAGAAATTGAAAAGTATATTGTATTTTATTCTCTCTTCTACTTTTTTTTTCTGTAATTTTCTACATTCCGACATTTTATATTTATTTCGATCTTCTTTTTATAGTCGATTCTGTGAAGGCAAAGTAGGAAAACTGTTGCTTTTATATGGGTACAATTCTAACGAAAGTTACTTCCACTGGATATGTTAAGGAAGATATCAATTCAGAGAAGAGATACGTTTCTGCTCTTAAAATAGAAAACTTTACCTTAATAAAATTCTATTTTACTTCGGTGACGTTTCTACTTATGTACTTAACTGATCTCCATTATTTAAAATTTAAAGCATTGTCCATTCTGAGTTATGATATGATCCAATTTAATTGATTGTCACTAGTAAACGTTCATACACCATTGAAAACGTGATTAATATGAAAACTTTATTCTATTTTATCCACTCGAATGTATGAAAAAAAAACAAAGTAAAACAGATATTATTGAAAAAATAAAGAATTATATTAAAAATCTTCTATCGAAAATTCATTTCTTGTGGGAGCAATTTTATAAATTATTTAATTTTTCTTCCAGATAAAACTTAGAAAATTGAAGAGAAATGAAACTTTACTATTTATTTTTAACATTTTTTCAAGCTTCAATGGATAGTAGAGTATTTCAATTTTATAAAATATATATTTATCTTTCATCTCTAACCGTTCGAAATGTTAAAATTGTTTTATATAAGAATATTTACTTTATATAATAATATAAATTGTTAGAAGTTTCAAAGAGATTTCCTTAATTTATTTGACTTCATCCATCTACTTAACACGACGTCTCCCTGTCGCCATTCGTATAAGTGTACTGTACAGTACACTGTTATTGATGAAGTAGTAAATATACCCGAATCGTTTCTTAAAAGTAGTTATTTTCTAAAAGAAAAAAATATTATTTTTACTTAAGAAATTGTAGAATATTATTTTATTAAGGTAAGCAATTATATATATATATAATTAGAATGGAACGTGATTATGCGATAGATAAGATCAATCAGACGTTAAAGAAATGAAAGAAAAATGTAAATTGCCTTTAACGTTATCGAATTGTTCGAGTTGTAATGGTTCTTTGATGAAACTTATCGCAGATTGCTTATAATTATTCCAAGGCGAATCGACTATTCAACACTTAATAAGTCTCACCATGCCAACATCGAAATTCTCATTAAGTAAATAATAAATTTACATTGATTCCTGTAAAGTAAGATTAATGGAAGGAAGTACACGTCATTTGATCAAAGCTTGTTATGTAGACGAGAAGTGGAATAATTCGTCGAGACTTTTCAATTGAAACTTTATTTATTTATTTATTTTTTATTGCAGGTATCTACATTTACGACACCTGTGGCCTAGAAAACATCGCAATGCGACAGCTCTATCGCCTCGTAACTCATGTTGGACACGTTCAGCCTGCTTCTTGCGTCGATAAAAGAATACCTCCAATATTCGGTAGAAAAATATCATTTTTCAGAGTTATTTAGCCGTAAACATAATCCAAAAATGTTGGTTTCTTTTTACCTTTATTCACAAAACATTACTTTATTCAGTTGCAAGTTTAATGAAATGCGAATTTAAATTCCCCCCCCCCAAAAAAATTGATTTTTTGTTTTAAATGTATTTTACGTGGCATACTTCATTTACGGCATATATTTACAGTTAATAATAAATCGTAAGAGTAGATCGGCGTGTAACATTATCTTCTACTATAAATTCTTTTTAGACTCATTTCGAGCGAACCAAACCAATGCTATGCTATGTCGAGCATCTATAGACTCTATACAACGTATTCTTGCAGTCTATCATGCGAGGAATGATTGTAGTAAGCAATTTTTTTTTTTCTTCGGAAGCTTGGAAAAACTGGAACTACATCATCTAGGATTAGAAACGTAGTAAAGTAGACCTATCTTTTGAATTTTTTTTTTATTTCTTCGGCACGCGTTACATTCTCAAATGGAGTTTTGTGTCTCGGAATTTATTGGTGACCGACGATGCTTTACGACTCGACTTATCGCTCCATTTCGATATTCTACACACGAAACAAGAAGAAATGACGATAACCGTAAAATTCAGACGATTTTCTATGTTATCAGTAAATTTTCTACGGTCGAATCTACGAAATTAAACTCGAACCCGACTGATATATATTGTAATCTTTATTATTAAGAATTAATTTGAAAATTTATTTGTATATTATTATTAAGATTAAAACGAGATTAACTTGGTTCAATATAAAACGGAAATTTCTTTGTTTATAAACTTTCAGGCAATAGTAACGACATTAATTCGTTTTGAATTATGGGACGTGGCCGTTATTGTTGCAGACGAGCAACAACGTCAATTGGGAAATGCCTTTTGGGAAGAAGCAGAACTGGCTGGAATTCGTGTAATTACTGTAGAATTACCGGTGACGACAGAAAACGAAGTCCCAATTACCGAGTCCATGCTCGATATACTGGATACATATAAGGTGTATATATATATATGTGCAATTTTTTTTTTTTATTATGCATTAACTAATTTCATAGTCTATTAATGTGCCCCTCTCCGATTATATCTTAACAATCCTCGATAATATCATATTAAGAGAAGCGAAGAAAGTTTTATGCCTATTGTAATTAGTGATAATGTAAAATTAGAGCTGGTAATGCCGTACGCATCCCGACCATTCATAAAATATGTAATCCGATCGGCCAAAAAAAGCACATAAAAGTATTCATGGTTGTGGCGGACATTAGTGAATTTCTATTAGGTAATGTGGATCGTGTTATTTCTGTAACGATTTCGGCCATTAAACATACAGTACCATGACAACGTCGTCGTTGGAAGCGAATGAAGCTAATTTCACTAATGGTGTTCAGTCGAGCCATCGTCACAAACCATCATTCTGTTAACTGATGTTTTTACTCTTAATGATATCAATTGTATTAAGAATATTCTACATTTGATCTTGTTTACTCTTTAAAACTATATTGAAACTCGTAGATGCTACTCGAAGGACCGATAAATATTCTTTTCTTAAAGATCCCATTGAAAGTCAAAGTTTCGGTTCCTAAAGTAGCTCGTACCTCACTCTGATTATGTCTATTTAAGGCTTTGTTTCAAAGAAAAAATTAGTTTTTTTTCTATTTATTTTATTTCGAAACGATTGCGTGATTAAATTAGAAATGAATAATTAATTAGTTTTGAAGAGAAAATTAAAGACAGGATTTAATCTTTTATTAATCTGACTTCAAAGATCTTCTATATTTTTACTTTTAAATTATTTATAAAGTAATTAAAATATATATATATTTTTTAAGTGTATTTCTTCCAGAAGATTATTTTCATTCGAGTAATTCTCTCTTAAAAATATATTTTGGTTTCTTATATTTCTTTTATATTTTTGATGAAAAGCTGTTCTATTGATGTCACGAGTGTACACTAAAGTATTCGTGACACGCATCCTTCACGCTACTTGACCAGCCTCAACAACGTATTTGACTAATAACTTTTAAAAGCATAATAAAGTTTTTATTATAAATATAAATTAAAAAGAAAAACAACATAATTAGAATTTTTGAATAAATTAGATGTTAAAGTCTATACAATAAATTTAGGAATGTAAAATATAAAATATATAGATGAGTGCTTTGCAGTATCATTAAAAGTAGTCGAATTTTTAAAAGAATCTTGCATTTGGTATTGCCTTTATTCATATAAATCAATGTTACTTGTAACGTTTGAAATGCTAAAAGATTGAGATATTCGAATTTTAAATGTAAATTAAAATATAATTTGCATTTTTATGATTTCAGGCATCGCCGAAAGGAGTCGTGGCTTTGCTTTCCCCTCATCAGGCCATCAAACTTCTAAAAAATTTCGATCCCGAGGATGCCGAATCTCTATACTGGCTTATCGTAACACCCATTGATATATCAACAGAACTTAAAGCAACTTTGAATCCCGTTCAACTTAATCTCTTATCCAAAGTTTTCATGCTATCACCTAATTCTATTTATATTAAAGAATATCATAGCTATTTTCGCCAGTTGCTGACAGAAGAAGAATCTTTGGATCACCCTTTAGTGGCCGAATTAGTTAAAAAGTCTAATTTGTCTTTACACAAGGATCCGTTGGATTTAAAGAAACATATACACGTAGAAGAAATCCGCAATTCTTCTTTAGAAAGAGACGTTTCCAACACGGTCAAAGCTATTTGGTCTTTGGCTGCAGCCATGAAAAACGTTCAAAACAGAATTTGTAGACGAGGCACGGATTGTTTACTTTATTTAAGAAAATCTTTGAGTTCTTATATAAATAGAGCCATTAGAAATGTGGGATACACGCTACACGGCACGGGAGCTTCGGCACTAGACGGTAACAAACTGCATTTTAGCAAAGATGGCTTCTTATCCACTACTAGATACGTATTGAGGATTCTAAATAGCGGAGAATCTCAAGAGATCGGATGGTATAGCGATGATTCGGGTCTCGTTATCGATCCGAATGTATTAGGTGCAATCAAGAAATTCGATCAGACCGATCTGTATCGGAACCATTTATCTCAATCGAGTCTGAGATCGGTTTCGTTAACGAGTCATCACGAGCCAAAAATGAATCATCCGAGAGCAAACGTTATTCCCGAAGAGAGTAAAAATCCTCCAGTTGTGATTAGCGAAGAGCCTAAGGAAGAAATTATCGACGTGCGCGACATAAAAGAATCGAATTTGGCATCTTGGATAGGGCGCCCCTGGGCTCTAACCATTTTAGGATTGTCAGCAGTCGGCGTGTTGTTTGCTTTATACGTTTTAGTTTTTCTTCTAGTGAAAATGTGTGAAGGAACGTTAAAAAAGAGTAATTTATTACTCGGAATTTTGCAAATTTTATCTGTATTGAGTTTATACGGGGCGGCAACTTTATTGCTTTTTAAGCCGTCTTCATTTATATGCGGATTGCAGAGATTGGTACCGAATGTGGCCTATTCTTACTGTTTCGGCGTTTTATTGCTGAAATCTATGCATTTACGATCACAAAAGACTATAGGATTAGGCGGAAGCGTCAGCAATCTGAATCAAGTTCTTACGTTATTGTTTATAGTGGGTTTACAGTTGGCTTTAGAAGTACAATGGTGGATATTACGACCGCCGTTCATTGTGGTTGCCGAAGACGAAGTACGATGTGTTATGTCCAGAGGTGATATTCTTTTATCTCAGGTGTACATCGTTGTTTTACTATTACTGGTAGTGTTAACAACCTTATCCGTGCATAACGTGCCCTACAACTACACGGAAGGCAAGAGTCTGATAGCCACGTCCGTTATTTGTTTAGCAGTTTTTATCGGTTGGGCGGTAGCGTGTTGGATGCTAACAAATACCGGAGATAGACACATTGCCGCTAGTTTAGCCCCCATTGCTACGGCGGCTGCGGTCCTCATTGGTATTTTCTGTCCACAATTATACGCCATTCACAAATATGGTGTCTTTCCGCATAAAAAACTCTCGTATACCGATTCGCTGTCAACGGTGTTTTCCGTGTTTAAAGAAGTGGATCAAGCAACCGGAAGGGGTAAGAAAGGAGCTAAGACTCTAGAAACTAGAACTGCCCAAGGGAAAAGAAATCCTGCTTTTTACGACGATTTCGCTTCAGCTTATCCTTGAGAAAAAGCGACACTTTTGAATATTAACGAAAACATCGATGACGTCGATATCGGGTCAGCTTAGGTCATCTAAGGATGTAGCGACTACCATCGGGATTTTATGCAGCATAGCGGAACAGGGATAGAAAATCGATAACTTTGATACCTGTACATCGGATTTCCGCTTGTTGTATTTGACACATCATTAATTTATTGGTTTGATATATTGTATTTTCTGTAACATATTAAAAACTGTTTAAGATTATTATGTTTTGTACTCCTTTCCAACGATATTTTAATAGGAAAGAATGAATTATTTATGGTCTCTGTCTACTTTTATATTCCGCACAATAAAACAGGTGTGCGAGTTTTAAAGAGGTGCAACAATAACAAAGCTTACATTTCGGATGAAAGAGCGATTGTGTCTCTTCTTTCACACACGTCACGAAAGAGAAGAATTTGAACGAAACAAACAAAAAAGTAATTTGAATTAATAAATTTATTTGTGTCAAAACCGACAGAATGAATCGTTTTTAGAGAAACAACAGGTTATATGTAATTTCGTGGGTCCGTCAAAACTTAGCCAACAATGGCATTCAGCAATATGAACATGTAACGCAAAAAAGTAAAATCCCCCGGAATTCGGGAATAATTACTAAACAAAGTACTTCACTTAACCGCTATAATGTGAGGAAGAGACAACATCAAAGTGAGAATGTCACGTAGTGCAAAACATTTGAATTATTAATAAGTCTTGGACGACACACCGTAAACAGAACGTAATCTTTTGACCCGCGAGGTATCAACAAATCACCCTCGGAATGGTCAGGTAACAGGAGATATGTTTGACAATCGTAGCACCTTGATCGTTTCTTTCTAAAACAACGGGAATGATTGGATAAACTGCAACAATTCACCAACTAGTTGTAAACTATTGATCTTTAACATAACGTAGAGCCGCTATATGATATAACAAATCAGCAAATCACAGCCATCTTCAACCGCCTCTCACCACATCCAATATCTTCTGATCACTGAAATGCCAGCAGAAAAATTAATTGGTTTATAAAAAAGAAATTAATTCATTTTTTTTCATTAATAATTATCTTAACTTTATACTTATATAATGATAAAGTGGACCATTTTTATAACGTAATATTTTGTCGTGTTGGCATTTTAATCGTGGTTAAACTTTTGTGCCTAAAAGAAAAGCAGTATATGAAAGAGTACGCTAAAGCTAAATTATTTAAAGTTTAAGCTTTTTAAACAAAAAAATATATCTCTGAATATGCGAATTTTTTTTGAAAATAAGCAAACAACTCATGCCTTCACATTCAGTCGATGTCGGTAAGCAATAGCTGCAACAGCAGAAGCTTACGTGGCGAATTTCTTATTTTTTTAAATAAATATTTAACCTTAGGTTAAATATTCTTTTTCCGAACATTATTGTAAATGTTTTAATTCGTAAACGAAGCTTGTAACTCACAGCGGCATATAGAAGTAGGTTATTTTCATGCGGATATTTTACGCATCAGCTGTCACGATGTTCCATGCTGGGATGAGCTGCGAAATGGTTGCCTACGTAGCGAGGTAAAGTTTGCACTGACAATTAAAAATGTTTAATTCATTTGATTTATACACATAGGTAGAAGAGAATAGAGACAATATAATAGATGATAAATTACCTGTAGTTCTTCGATAGTGTTCCCTGTTGTTCGTCTGCGCTAGAGCAGAACGTTTTGATGAAACGTAAGTTAATTATTAAACTTAATAAAGTGGCGAAAGTGTGTATCGTACCTTTATCTACAGCTGCTAAATGCGAAGAAGTTACGTTGTTGTATGTAGGGGTGGAGATCGAAGATGGAGTGCTGGCGGGCGAACCTATTTTCCTAGCGGAGAGAGACGAAGGTGAAGGAGTTCGACCCCCGGGAGTTCCAGCTTTCAACGAATCGGATGGAGTGGAGCATGGACTAATTCCGTCTCGAGGACTGATGCTCTGATTCGAACTCATCGGCTCTAACATATTGAAGTCACTGAAACAGTAATCTCGAGGTTAAATTTACGCAAAGAAAATATAATTAATAATAATTAAATTCACCTTCTGATAACGATTTCGACTTCGTCGGCCGTCACCGAAATAATTTTTTGAACTTCTTCGTAAGTTTTTCCGGTTAAGGGAACACCGTTCCATTCTAATACCTGATTACCTGAAAATCGACTGGAATAAACCAGGGTTTTCTATCGAATATCGGATTGAGAATTTAAGAAGAAAAAAAAAAAAATCTACCTTCCTTGACTTCTCCTAGTGTTTCTACCACACCACCGGGACACACTTTAGCTACGTAAGCTCCCATAAGCCCATTTCCACCGGGTATTTCTTTCCCTCCGATCACTTTCATTCCGAGGCCATTTCCTAAGAAAGAAGAGATTCCGAGTTATTTCTTAGAAACCTCTACTGCAAAATTCGAGATCTAAATATTTGTGTGGAAGCAACCAATGCCAATCTGCAAATTGCATAGTAATTCTTGCTTCCTACGTTATGAATCAGAATGGCGTTGGGATTGAAGTATGTAGGAATTATGTAGCTGGCAGTTTCGATCTTTATTGTCGGATGAGTTTCTTGGAAGTTGGACGAATTCCAAATGATTCTACCCGAATGTAATAAAGGAAGATAAATTCCGCCGATAGAATACGTTAAGTTCATTATGCTTACAAATAGATCTTTGTAGCAAAATACTTAAATTTGTTGCAAACTTTATTCATTGATTTAAGGACCAATGTTCCTATTAACCGGGCAGGAGAATATCTTCTTTTTTTTTATCATCATAAACTTAAGTGTTGCTTAGGTATTTTCGTCGATATTATATCGAAAAAAATACCATATTTTGTGAAAAATTTAACAAAAAATCGATTCCTTAAACAAGAAAAAAAAATCGATCAAAAGTTTCACAGATAATGCTTTGAATAAGAATTTCTTTCGAAGTATTTTCTGACTAAACTTTAAATCATTATTTTTCTATATTTAAGGTTTAAAAAAATAGTCCTATTTGTAACATACGTCATTTTCTCAAACTAATATACCAAAATGGAGGTGCCCAAAATTGGCATCTCTTTAAAGTCAAGCAGAAAATGGTAAGTTTCAGTCGATTTTGCTCGAAATGACATTCACTAAAAGGAATTTAAACATTTTAAAGTTTAAAAAAAACCTTTCAATCTTCAATTGTATGCAATTTTGTATTAATTTGTAACTATATTTATGTAAATTAACTACAAAAGTTCAGGGGATTCAGGGAACTACATCAACATTCGAAACAGTAAAAAAAAAAAAAAATTATTTTAAAACTTTTTAATAATAAATTGACGATATTCTATTTTAAATATTCAATTGGTAAAGTTTCCAGTTACTTTAATAAAAGTATTAAATCTTAATCTATATTTTAAATTAAAATTGCAATTCGTCTATTGAAATTTTATAAATTCTGTATATTTACTAAATCGAAGAGGAAGCGTGTTTCTCTATTATTAATATGGAACGACGTTTATATTTATCATTCAAGGCTAGAGATTAGCATCGAATTTCTGTTTAACTTCATGTAAAAATTGATTATGAACTCTGTTGATCATTATACAACCGTCAGATGGATTTGATTTCTTTGCTCTCAGTTCTGTACACGGTGTCGGAATCAGGTGTTGCTAGGTCACAGATTCTAAAAATATTTCTCTTGTAGAAAGAGAAGAAAAAAAAATATAGGCTATATATATATATATAAAAATCGACTTAACATCTGGTATTGTCGGTTTTCTTATCCGGAAACTTGATTAGCGCACCAGTTCGTTCTATAGTTATTCAGTTAGACTCTCAAGGAATGATAGTCTTTCTAGTTAAAAATTTGCCACTTCCTCTAACAAAATGAAATCAATGCGGAATAATATTAAAATAAATTATATATATATATATATATATAATATTTAACGTAGGAAACTTTACGATTTCTAAATTCTTCCTCTTCCTCTTCGTTATCATTAGTGGAATTATCTTTGAAAGTTTGAGAGTTGTGTTTTATAAGTAAACTTTTATTTAAAAATTCCCCTATCATTTATAATAAATAATACGTGAAGATAATTACGGTAATAAAAGTTTGTTTACGGTTTATTTTGTCCTTTTTATCTTATTCTGAAGAGAGAAGAGTTATTGTAAGACGATCCAGACTGTTTGGATGGAATCAAACAAATTGGCTATCATTCTGTTGGTCTAATTATAGAAGTAATCTCCAAAGGAAGATATGTCTATTAGTTTCTTCAAAAGAAACATTTCGAGTACAGAATTAATTAAGAGAAATTTCCACTAGAAGATAAAAAAAAAAAACTTAGAAGAATAACAAAGAAGAAAAAGAAAAATAATTTATCTTTACATTAGTCCAATACATTCTCTTGATTAAAATTAATATAATGATAGATTATTTTGGAAAATTCAAAATAAAACTTACCGCTAACGGATCGATCTTTCGGATCTCGAGTTAATAAAATTCTTTTAACTGGAAATTCGTATTTTTGAGGAGTTCTGATCACAGTTTGTCTCTGTAAATAATAATATTATTATTTTTTTAAATCTACGATAAAAAATGATTAATATGAATGAAAAATAAAAAATTCTTACTTGCATTTTCCTCATTTGTCTTAATAATGCATTGTCTGTCATTGATTCTGTATCAATGTGAGATTGTTTATCTGTGTCTCCGCACTGTCTGACATACTGTGTCTGAACTAAAAATAATAATAATAATAAATTTAAAAAGTTAACTAATATTTAAAACATTATTTTTTTTATACTTCATACTTAAATTTAAATATATAAAAATTTAATAGCATTTATTTCCCAAGTGGTTCTTTAAAAAAAAAAAAAATCTGATACAATCTCAATTTTCGAGGATTCTCGGCATTTGTTAATTTATTTTTTTTTTAAAAAAAAGATATAAAAAAAAAGGAAAATTGACGAGCGAGAAAAATAAAAAATAAAATAAAAATAATGATCAATGAGATCCAGAAAAAAATAATATTTATATATTTCTCTTTAGATTAAAAGTTTTTTTTTTCCTTTAAAAAAATAGAATAATGTATTATGTCATTTTCAAATTAATTTATTCTTTTATATAGGAAATATTTAATATTATATTCGATCTGGTGTTTCCTTTTTTAATTAAAAATTTTAAATTATTTTTTTATGAAATTTTTTTCAATGTTTTTTAAGTTATTAACATTCTCAAAACGTTAATTTATATCAATAATATCTATTGATATTAATCAACGTGATAATTGTATTACAATTTATAGTATTGTTTTCGTATTTAAACATAAAAAAGATGCCCTTAAAAATACGTTTAAACTTTGAAGTATTTGATTGTAAGTGAAATCTTAATTATCAATTTTGTTTGTGTGTGTGTGTATGTTTTTTTTTTGTAAAATGGATAATTTAAATCATTTTAAAAACTGTAAATTAATTAACTAATATTATTAAATTAAGTCGGTCTACATCGTACAATCAACTCAATTGGCTAATTAAATAATTTACCAAAACCATCTCAATTAACTCAACACATTCCAATTAATGTAACGTTTTGGCTTTAAATTGCGTGTTAATTTTTAGGAAAAAAAAAATAAATAAATAAGAATTTAAATCTATTAAAACCTCAGAAAATTTCGGAATTTTTAATCCAAAAAAATGCTACTTTATTTATATATATTTGATCCATCAAAATTCTTCGTTAAACCCTAAAGTCATCGATTTGTTGTTAAGGAAATTGCACCCCTCCCTCCTATTTTTTCGTGTTATACGAATCACGTCTTTATTCAATTACTTAAACGTTTTTACATAGAAAATAAATATTATCCAGCTTGGTTTACCTGTTTCGCTTCTACCCGCCTGACTACCGATGGGCGAGCTTCCTAAATCTTCTAATAGTTTCCTGGATCTACTGGGCATATCTGGTAATAAAGGCATGGCTGGAGTTGGATCGGTATCTGTTGGTGTTTCTAATTCGATAAGTGGTGTTGGCTTATTTATCAGGATATTCGAACTCTGAACACTGTCTGTAGGAAATGTTGATGCTATTCGAGCTATACTTTCGTCTTCGGCTGTATTATCTGGAAACTGAACAGTTCCAGTCGATGATTCTCTTTGGTACCACGAACTTTCATGAGGAGTGTACCTAAATTATGTTACAAAATTAGTGTTCACAACACGTAATATCGAGTAATTTATTTGTATAGCGTGTAAAATTTATTTTATATTATTATTAAATTAATATATTATATTTTTACAAATGAAAATTCGTACAAATGTAGTGTTGATTTAATTAAAATATGCTACTAATAGGATATCAAACACGTAATTTTTGAATGTTTGCACGTATTAAAACACGTAAACATTCAAAAATTTTATCGTTATATTCAACTTAATCAATAGAAACATGCAAGAAACTTATGATATCAATAGACGAATATCCATAAAATGTATCAAAATATAAATCTATGTTAACTCGTGTCGTTTTTTTTTAAACGAACAAAGAAAAAAAATAGAAACAGGAATTCGATTAGAGCTAAAATCTTTAGACTAATGTTACTCTAAACAAATTGATGAGGAACACAAGCGAAATGTATATTGGCAATAGCAGATCATTAATAAAACTCGTGGAAATCTCAATAGAGCATCACGTAAAAAATAAAGTGAAAAAGACAAATACGTTGCCTCATTATACGAATTCCTTTTTTCTTTTCTTGAATTCTACGTAATACAAGTCTATTTTTCTTTAAAATGGATGTAAATAATTTATTCGGACACATTAAAATGTGTAAGTTTTCTGAAGTTTCACACGCTGTCGAGCTACTTACTTCTCTTGACAAATAACATTTGGCATAAGCGAGAAAGCGAAAGATTCATTTCTCGCCTGGTTTGGACACCGATTTTCCAATTTCTGATTTAAATGTAAATTTTCTGCAAAAGTAAATTTTTCGGATTCTCATCTTCTACCATTAAAACGATCGAATTCTAAAATAGAAACTTGGTAATGCCAAAAAGTCTTATTACAAACGACTCACACGAGGCGAATTGCTATTGTAAATTTCAGCGACAGAAAAATAAATAATATAACAAAAATATATATAATTAAATTTATTAATTATAGTTATATACTCTCATTAATTAAAGCTAATTATTACGAATAGAGAGAGAGAGGGAGGCAGCTAAAGAGAGAGAAACGGTATTAATTAAATTAATCATCTCCATCCTAATTAATTATAAGGGGTTTATTTAATATTATGTTAGAAACTTCGTATAATGTAACAAACACATAATAACAACATGCGAGATATAAATATATGAGATGTCATATTATTCTCTCACTCCGTATTGATCTTATTGATTTTCCAAAAAGAAAAAATCTTTTGCAGAAAGAATTATAGCTGGATGCGAAAATAAGATTTATTCTTAGCTCACTTATGTTTGAAATTTGTCAATTTTATATAAAATTTATACAGAATAAGACACTTATATCATTGTTAAGTCACACCATTCTCTAACTTTAAAGGAATTTAATAAAAAATCAACCGAATTGAAGTCAATTTCGACAAAGTGAAGTCTATCGAATTCTCTTCCCTCTATCTTTAAAATGGCAAATAATAAAAATATTTGCATCAATCACAGCCAATGAAATACTTAAAAAAAATAATAATTATATTTCGCTCGATAGATAATGCAAATTAAATTTCATGTAATTAACTAGCAATGTAAATGGGACGTTTCATAGTCACGCGAGGAGAATAACAGACATAAAAAAAAATTTTCTATCGTGCATTCGTATTGATATAAATAGTTCAATACTATCATAGAACTAGAAACATTTACCTTAATACGCGTTGAATGAAGTGCATCGACATTACTCCGGTGTTTAGAATATTCATGAATGTCCTAAATGATTACGCTCGAAATCGAAAATGAATTTATTGCACATTGTGCATAAAGTGGGAAGTGTAATAATGTTGAAACCCACACGTTGCTTTCTGTGTGTGTTTTATATTCTGAATAAATTTACACGGGTATGAGAGTTTAAAATTGGTTGCGCTGAATTTGAAGAAATTTTATCACCTTTTTAAAACTTCAAACTCCCTATTCAAAGTTTTAAACGTTCTATTCAGAATTTATATTTTATGAACCAACAAGTAAAGCTACTTCTACATAAATTACCTTATACAATGTTTAAGGTTTGATGCTCATGGCTCGTATTTTATTATTAATAGAAGCTTTGGAAAGTGAGAAATTTCTTTGTTTTGATATTCCAAAGATGATTTAAATTTTCTTTAGATTTTTATTGTGTGAATAATTTTTCATTTAAAAAAATTTTTTTGTGGATGGAATTTCGAAAGAATTTCTCTTTAGAAATCGTATTTACTTTGAATGCGATTCAAAACAGATTAAAAAAAAATTCTTGTGTAAAATGATTTAATTAGTAATCTATTAAAGTGAACGTATGAATTACTTTAATGTTTTGTATTTTAACTAATTTACTAATTAAATAATGGACTATATTAAAGTTAATTAAATGAATGGGAAGTAAATAATATTAAGTGCCATTAAAATACAACTGTAAAAATGGCTTTTGTCGATGTTTTCTATAAAACTTAAATTTAAATATATACATAGAAAACCTTAAATCGATGTTTGTGTATAACATTTTACACAGTTTGTTTATTTACAAGATATTTTCTTTTGATAAAAATTAACCTTTTATTTTATACAATGGACTTTTGTAGGTAGCTAGCTATACACAATTTGCCCACTAATGGTAGAGTGGATAAAACCACCAAACATTGGTTGGTAGTTAGTAGTGGGTTCGCGCCTAACCAAAGGGCTGATCAGGTGAAGTTTTCCAGATTTCTTCACGTTTGTAACGCCTAAATAGGGAACAATTTCTCGTAGAAAGTCCTCCCGGGAGTCCAAGGAATCCTCCAAATGAATTTCGGTTAATATGCTAATTTTTAATAATTTATTATTTTTTAAATGTTGTTATAATCGAGGAAAGATAAAGCTGCATATTAAGTGTGGCTTTTTCAAATAAAAAGTGTGTTTGATTTTAACTCTTTCCTCCTTGAAAGCATTACAAAGGCCTTTTTTTCCATACCCATCGTAGGTTTGCCAGGACCACCGAATGGTGAGACCCGACGGACTTCCATGAAAAATTTCTGAGGTTCCAGATTCGATCCCGGTCCCCCAGAGCGATGGACCTTGGCCAATCCAACGGTAAGTGAATTCGATTATTATCTAATATAATCTTATTTAAACCGAGCAATTATTTAGTGACAGTGTCACAATGTCGGATTGCAATTTTCGTCACAGTGCTTTCAATTTTAGTAGTGTCTTACCCCGTACATCATACCTTTCCTGTTAACAATTGAGTCGTGCCGATCATCTATCAAATTCCATTCAAAAGAAAAGTTTTGAATTAAAATAACATAACTTCCGATTTGTACTGGAAGTTCTTATATAGTTAATCGGAGTCTCCTGTCCCTAAGCTTTCCATATATAATCTCGACTTTCATCTAACTAACTCAGTTCTCGAGATTAAGGAAGAACAGACAGGAAGACGGACAGAAACCAATGGAAGTTATAGATCTACAATTTTTGAAAATTTCAGCCTGAAAACGTATTTAAAAACATGATGTGTAATGGATGGGCCCTAAAATTTGGGCCTAAGGCCCCCGAAAGCCATAACGCGACACTGGTATATATATATAGGCCTATAGTATTTATATTTATACAATATTCTGTTAATATAAGAATATCTTGTCCAATTTTCTTTTTAATTTGAAAAATGTTTACTAATTTAAGATATTATCTTAAGATATTATGAATTAGTCTAATTATTTAGCATGATTTATGGGCGAATAAAATTAAGTTATCTGTCTTAATTACTCAACATAAGCAATGGGTTGAGATATTTTTGAATCTGAACGTTGAAACAATATATAATCAACGACAATAAATCAGTTTTATATCACGAATAGAATAAAATATGATAATTTAACATCAAATAAAGTATGCGTTTAAATTTAATGTCATGATTTTGCATGTAAATTGCTTTACAATTCATATTTTATCTTGAAATCATCTGTTAATGCGTTAGATTGCTTTGTGCTTTTAAAATACAACTTCAATCACTGCGTGTAGAATTGCAATGCGTGGTCAATTAGGAACATTTTTAACTATGCTAAATCAGTGCAGAACATGTCAAATGTATAAAGGATAGGTGACATATTTAACGTTCTTGCATGTAGCACTACACGATATGAAACCCAAATCAGAAATTCGAGAAAATAACTATAAAGGATGGAAAAAATGGAGATATTCGATACGAAATCTTATTACTATACGTACTAAGAAATGTTATTAAGAGTAGTAGATGTATAGTTATTTTTGTATATAGAACAGTAATAAACAGAGACGGCGAAGCTTATGAAATATTTTCTATCTTACATTAAAACCTGTCAAAAACGGAACCTGGATAAAACGGAAACTTGACTAAACCGGAAAAATTTCGATACCGTGCGATTGTATACAAGCCTTATTCATTAAATAAGAGATTCTGACTACTCCTATTAATTAAATTCATCTTCATTAATAGAAAAAGAATTAAAATAAGAAATATTTAACAAATTTAAAAAATTGTTAAATTAAAAATAATTATATAATATTGATAAACGATACGGATAGAACAATATAGAGTTTTTTTTTTTTGTTATTTGAACAAAGCTTAGTTCTGTCTCACCGAGATCTGGGCATTGTGGAATACACGGAGGAGGTTGGAGAACTGAAGTATTGAGAAGATCTGACGGATGATACCCCTTGAGTTTCCTTTCTTAATATCTCATCGATAGCTTGCAGAACGCTGGTAGTATCTCCTGGGAGCATGGAATCTGCTGTTCTGCTGCTGGTCGTCGTCGTCGTATGACTTGTCCTGTACATGGTATCTAAAGTCGGTGACATTTTGTAGCTACTGTTGTATTCTACAGGAAGTACATTTCTTTTAATCTCTAGTCATTATACAACTACATGAAATATTCATCAAAAATATCTTACGCAAAATAAATTTATTATATTTACGTAAGTTACTTGTAGTATAGACTATTTACCACCCGATAATGTTAGGAGATGTTTGATTGTCGAGTTAACTTTCGTGTGAATTGGTAGGGATGTAGAAAAAGTCGTTCAGAATATGACCTTATAAGTCAAATCTTAAGTGAATGTAATAACTTTGGATACGGCAGAGAAGACGAAATTAAATTTAAAAAGTTTTTTTTTTTCGAACACACATTGTTTTCTGCGATAAAATTCAATTCAATATAATGTTACTTTACTAAATAAATTACAAAAATAAGGTTAAATACAGCGTGATAAGCATCAACAGGAGAAAAATAAGGAGTTAATCTATTTTCCAAAGTTCTTTTTTTACAGAAAGAGAGGGAAATATAGAAAGAAGATATTTCAAAATTCTAACGAAGTTTGATTGAGAAAATAAAAATAAACAGAAATAGATTTATCTTTGTCTATTTTTATTTTTCTAACAAATTATCATCGAGATATTCACGTATCCAATGCAATTTTCTATCAAATCTTTGAACTAAACTTTTCTTTACATTATAAAATTTTTCTAATTTCTATCCAATCTTTCGAATTTCATCTCAATAGAGGAAGTATATTGTATATAATATTCAATTTTCCCTCTTCTACTTCTTCTCCTATTGATTAAATTTTTAATATTTCGAATCGGTACTTAAAAAGTAAAAAAATTAATTTATAGATATTAAGCAATCAAATANATATTTATGTAAATTAACTACAAAAGTTCAGGGGATTCAGGGAACTACATCAACATTCGAAACAGTAAAAAAAAAAAAAAATTATTTTAAAACTTTTTAATAATAAATTGACGATATTCTATTTTAAATATTCAATTGGTAAAGTTTCCAGTTACTTTAATAAAAGTATTAAATCTTAATCTATATTTTAAATTAAAATTGCAATTCGTCTATTGAAATTTTATAAATTCTGTATATTTACTAAATCGAAGAGGAAGCGTGTTTCTCTATTATTAATATGGAACGACGTTTATATTTATCATTCAAGGCTAGAGATTAGCATCGAATTTCTGTTTAACTTCATGTAAAAATTGATTATGAACTCTGTTGATCATTATACAACCGTCAGATGGATTTGATTTCTTTGCTCTCAGTTCTGTACACGGTGTCGGAATCAGGTGTTGCTAGGTCACAGATTCTAAAAATATTTCTCTTGTAGAAAGAGAAGAAAAAAAAAATATAGGCTATATATATATATATAAATCGACTTAACATCTGGTATTGTCGGTTTTCTTATCCGGAAACTTGATTAGCGCACCAGTTCGTTCTATAGTTATTCAGTTAGACTCTCAAGGAATGATAGTCTTTCTAGTTAAAAATTTGCCACTTCCTCTAACAAAATGAAATCAATGCGGAATAATATTAAAANTAATTTATTCGGACACATTAAAATGTGTAAGTTTTCTGAAGTTTCACACGCTGTCGAGCTACTTACTTCTCTTGACAAATAACATTTGGCATAAGCGAGGAAACTTTACGATTTCTAAATTCTTCCTCTTCCTCTTCGTTATCATTAGTGGAATTATCTTTGAAAGTTTGAGAGTTGTGTTTTATAAGTAAACTTTTATTTAAAAATTCCCCTATCATTTATAATAAATAATACGTGAAGATAATTACGGTAATAAAAGTTTGTTTACGGTTTATTTTGTCCTTTTTATCTTATTCTGAAGAGAGAAGAGTTATTGTAAGACGATCCAGACTGTTTGGATGGAATCAAACAAATTGGCTATCATTCTGTTGGTCTAATTATAGAAGTAATCTCCAAAGGAAGATATGTCTATTAGTTTCTTCAAAAGAAACATTTCGAGTACAGAATTAATTAAGAGAAATTTCCACTAGAAGATAAAAAAAAAAAACTTAGAAGAATAACAAAGAAGAAAAAGAAAAATAATTTATCTTTACATTAGTCCAATACATTCTCTTGATTAAAATTAATATAATGATAGATTATTTTGGAAAATTCAAAATAAAACTTACCGCTAACGGATCGATCTTTCGGATCTCGAGTTAATAAAATTCTTTTAACTGGAAATTCGTATTTTTGAGGAGTTCTGATCACAGTTTGTCTCTGTAAATAATAATATTATTATTTTTTTAAATCTACGATAAAAAATGATTAATATGAATGAAAAATAAAAAATTCTTACTTGCATTTTCCTCATTTGTCTTAATAATGCATTGTCTGTCATTGATTCTGTATCAATGTGAGATTGTTTATCTGTGTCTCCGCACTGTCTGACATACTGTGTCTGAACTAAAAATAATAATAATAATAAATTTAAAAAGTTAACTAATATTTAAAACATTATTTTTTTTATACTTCATACTTAAATTTAAATATATAAAAATTTAATAGCATTTATTTCCCAAGTGGTTCTTTAAAAAAAAAAAAAATCTGATACAATCTCAATTTTCGAGGATTCTCGGCATTTGTTAATTTATTTTTTTTTTAAAAAAAAGATATAAAAAAAAAGGAAAATTGACGAGCGAGAAAAATAAAAAATAAAATAAAAATAATGATCAATGAGATCCAGAAAAAAATAATATTTATATATTTCTCTTTAGATTAAAAGTTTTTTTTTTCCTTTAAAAAAATAGAATAATGTATTATGTCATTTTCAAATTAATTTATTCTTTTATATAGGAAATATTTAATATTATATTCGATCTGGTGTTTCCTTTTTTAATTAAAAATTTTAAATTATTTTTTTATGAAATTTTTTTCAATGTTTTTTAAGTTATTAACATTCTCAAAACGTTAATTTATATCAATAATATCTATTGATATTAATCAACGTGATAATTGTATTACAATTTATAGTATTGTTTTCGTATTTAAACATAAAAAAGATGCCCTTAAAAATACGTTTAAACTTTGAAGTATTTGATTGTAAGTGAAATCTTAATTATCAATTTTGTTTGTGTGTGTGTGTATGTTTTTTTTTTGTAAAATGGATAATTTAAATCATTTTAAAAACTGTAAATTAATTAACTAATATTATTAAATTAAGTCGGTCTACATCGTACAATCAACTCAATTGGCTAATTAAATAATTTACCAAAACCATCTCAATTAACTCAACACATTCCAATTAATGTAACGTTTTGGCTTTAAATTGCGTGTTAATTTTTAGGAAAAAAAAATANTTCTGAATTTTTGCAGAGAGATTTGTATATTAGGGGCATTTATGCTATCAAATTTAGGTGGTTAAAGGTGGACGGGGTGGGGAGATAGAAGGGGATCGTGTTTTGTATCTCGAGTAGGGCTTAATGAAGATTTTACTCATTACAATTTTTTAAATAAAACTTATCTCTACTCTCAAAACTAATCTTTTTGGCATTTTATAATAATTAATAATATAAAACGTTTTTAAAATAAAATCTGTAATAGATAGAGCCATACAAAATTTTAAATTCTTTTGCCGGGAAAGTTACGCAACTCGTTGCCGAAGTTTTTCTTTCTTTTTTTTTTTTAGTTTTTTTGAGTTATATTGATTTAACTTCTTAAATATTTCTTCTCGTGTTTATTTTATATCTCAGTCTATCATCTTATATTTTCTAATTACTGAAAATGAAAAGTTTAATTTAAAATATCACCATTAAGTGTATATAATTCGAATTAGTGAATAGGAAAATTGAAGTTAAATTTGATTTAAAATCTCTCGATTAAAAAAAAATTTAAGAAATAAACTTTTTCATGCACCATTACTTAAATCAAGGATATTTGCAACTAAAAAAGAAACTCTCTTATTTGCATGTAAAGGTCAAATGTTTCAGGTCTGAATTTATTGATCTACAGAAAAATTTATGCTCGTTAATCTGTTTTATTTATTTATTTTAATTTAAAAAAAACAATAATAATATCGTGAATTAAGTACACTCTTCTCTATAATACAAAAATTAGTATTGGATAAAACAACAATTAATATTAATAAATAAAACAACATCAAGCAGCGATAACGTTTGTTATATTAAAATACATCATTTGTATAATGCATAATAATTTAAATTTAACACACTGCAGGTGCAGTTTCTCATGGAAGGTCGTATATACACAGTACAATGATCCTTAAAAAAATAAACACTGGAAAATATTAAAACAATACATTACAAATAAGAATTATTGAAAAGATTTAGATGCTATTAGAGTAAAAATATGGAAAGAAATAAAACAACATCAAATATACGTGTAACACGTCCATAAACAGACAATACTTTCGTATACCCACCTAGAAATAATCATTTTAATCAATACATAAATTTTTATAATCGTAATTTTATAACAATGAGAAACGCTAGGAAATATTCCACTTAATATTTGAAAATTAGAGTATTAAAAATGTTAAAGCTTGAAGAATATTAAGTACTAACGTCACCAAATATGCTCCTGCAAACGAACAAATATGATAGAGTTAAAAGGACCAAAAAATGTGACGAAAATAAAGCTACGTGAGAACAAATTTACATTAATTGAAGCCAGAATTTTCAAAATTATTCTTTTTTTTTTAAAAAATTTTGAAAAAAAATACATCGATTTATGCATTAACACTATAAATTTCTAACTCAATTCTTCTAAAAAATAAATATTTATTTTGAAACATTGCTTTATGCTTTATTTTATAGGAATGAACTTTAAAAATTTTTTTTAAAATATATATATACTAAAATTTAAATTAAATATTATAAAAAGAATAAAAAGTAATCGATTTATTTATAATAATTTTAAAATTTTAGAAATAATAATATAATTCTCTTGTCTCTTCCTCTTACATTAGAATTTGACACGAGCATTTTTCTTTTGAATGGAGTATCCATGACATGCTACTTACATACAGATATAATACTTAGAGGATTGACAAGCCATAGAGAGGATTAGCCACTATATCATTTTTCCTATCCGTAAATAACTTGTGTATAGCACTGTACACTAGTGGTTTGCAAGAATCGAGTCGACCCTGATTTAGTTACACGATAGCTACTTCAAGTGTAAGCGACTGTAGCTACAGAATCGAACAATTTCATGTAGAATTTCTAATTTTATATTATTTAACCGTACGTATTACAAAAAAAATATTTAATCCAAGCATTAAAAATTATTTTTAATATGTAAATAGACGAAAATGTGTTATAATTATCTTAAAAAACGTCGAGAAATGGAGGTTTTTCTTGTATGGATGGAGGTTTGTGTGTGGGGTGCACGAATTTCTTCTCCCACTTTGAAGCTTAATAACTCCTATGAAATTTCTCCAAAATTTCTGAAATTTTGCAGGGAAGTTTGTTTATTAGATGCATTGATGCTATTAAATTTTGATGGTTAAAGATAGAGGGGATGAAGAGATAGAGAGGGGTCGTATATCATATCTGAAATGGAGTCGGATTTAATGAAGATTTTACTCGTTATTAGCATTAAAAAAAATTTTTTTTTAAATAAAACTCGTCTCTACCCATAAAATTAAGCTTTTAGTTATTTTATAATGATTAATAATATAAAAAGTTTTTAAAAATGAAATGTTATAACAGATGACGCCACACAATTTTAACTTTATTGCCGGGAAAGTTAAGCAACTCGTTGTTGGATTTTTTTTTTACTTAGAGATGCTATAGCATTCTATGTTAATTTTGTTTTCTTGTATTATTCATAACATGTTCATACAAACATTTTCCAGTTTTGTGATTTTAATCTGTGCTTATTTTTAAAAATAGGGAATTTATAATCAGGGCGAGTAGATATAAAATTAGAATTTTTAGCACCTTAATACAGTACAGTATTCATGAATGGGACTTTGTATTTGTTCTGGTTTGATTTACGAGGTTAGACGATAATAAAAAATTAATGCTAAATAAATATTTATGAATATTTCATTCCGTTTATTTTTTACAAAAAAATAAAAATAAATTATTATTTTTTGTTTGAAAACATCGCTGAAACAATACATTAATTTTATTAATGGACATTTGAATATGTTTCAGCTAAAATCAATAGATTAAATTATGTTGTAATGTTAAAAATCTAAACGAAATTTCGGATATTATATATTCGCGTGCATGTAATAAAGACTATTAACTGACCACAAACTTTGCTTACTAAGCATATTCTTTGCAATCACAGATTAATTCAGTAATCTCCTTTAAAGATAATAGTTCAATTTAGCATTGTTTAAAGTATTTGCATACGTAAGCTTCCTATTATTTGTATAATAATACTATTCAATACACTAGGGAGGGCTAAACCTTGTCACGATAGGAGCCAAAAATACGCGAGAGCCGCATCCTAAATTTGAACGGTAATTTATATATATATAAACAGAAGAATAGCACAAAAATCGGATCCCTACTTCTAATAAGGAGGTAAAGATCCGATTTTTGTACTATTTCTCTATGTATGAGAGCCACATTAAGGGTCTAGAAGAGCCTCAGTTTTGCCATACCATTGAAGATAAAAAAGTTATATTTTTAATTCAAAAAATATAGAATTATGTTCTATTCTAGGATTTTACTTTTCTATGGATACGTAACTGTAAACAAATAAGAATTTAATTATAATTTATGACTTCATAAAATACAATGAATTACCATGGAATTTAATTATCTCTATTCTTTAGCTAATTAGAAGTTATTATTCAGACATCGGACGTGAATTCTCTTACTAAAAGCAACGTATTTATGGATCTAAGATAAGCTTAGGAAATTATTGACGAAAACGTAAATGATTAATGTATTTATTAGCTTTCTCGAAGGAAGCGGGAGTAAATTCAATCCGAATATAACCTTATTTTCTCTTTTTCCCTCTTCGAGTTATCTTTATTTGCTTTGGATGGACGTATGATTTATATATTGCTCTTAGGCTTTGTTTAAACTTTGTTACAAAGTCGTAAATAATAATATTCTTCCATTATGATTTTCTATATTAGAAACCATAACTCATTGATGACTTCAAGTTTTCCTGTTTCTTTTATGACTCATATTTACTAAATGCAATCTCGATTTCCCTTTGATCTATCAATTAATCAGCACTCGCTACCCTTTCTTTTTTACATTCGTAATCGGTTATTGGCTCGTCTGCCAATATTTACAGATTGAGTTTTAACAACACACGACATGGAATGTCATCTGTAATAAAATCTTAACATTTTATTACGGATGACATTCCTTACATGTTCAAGTTTTAACTACGAGTGACAAGTCTTCTTTGTGGAATTTCAGCTACTCTATATCGTATAATTATTCAGGAATTATTTAATAGATTCAGCATTCTGAATATATTAGTATAAAGATTTATCTTGATATAATTACATAATTTAATTCTGTTTATCAATTTACGTTTGCAATTTGCATTGTTACGATAATAAATATCTGCTTATAATGTAGTGAAACTATGGAAAAAGAGCTTGTAATTTGCTTTTCGTGTTTCGATTAGCGCTATTTAAAATTAAATATTAAAATATATATATATACTAATTATTTTCTGAATTAATCAACTGATAATTAATTTATTACAAAGTCATTAAAAAGCTAGAAGAATACGACGTCGTGTGAATTTCTTTGTTCCTTTTATAATATCAAATTTCGTACAAAAATGTCGAATAGATTATAACAATTTTAAAATATTTTATAACTTTCTAATATACAGTTAAACCTGTATAAACCGGACTCGTACGTACCGAATATTGTTNAAGCCAAAAATTTTCCACTGGAAAATCCTGGTAAAGAGATGTTTAACATGAGAAAAACCAAAAACATATTTTTTCAGTTATAATAAAATGTATTTTTTGTTTTTTTTTTTAAATATAAAATATACAAAATTTCATCTTAAAAATAATAAAACTTTACGTAAAAAAAAGAACAACAACAACACGCGAATTGTCAATGCTATAATCAAAATGGAGGAAATTAATGCACGGTTTATTTTATTATGCATTATAATTGGAAGCGAACAAACAGAAAATGAATTTATAATATAATAAATAATACAATTGGGACACGTTTCCCAATTTGTATTTGGCTATAAACATTGTTTCCAATGTAGAAACAAGAATGATGATTAGCGAGGTGAATAGATTAGCCGCCGAACATAAATCTTACAGTGACCAATTCATTATTAACAATATAATTGTTACGTAAATGTTTAAAAACGTAATATTTAAAGATACAAACAACTAAATTTACTTATTATAAAATATTTATTATTTATTTATTAAAAAATACGAAGTACAGTACTTTCGTTCTTCTTCCNAAAAAAAAAAAAAACAGTCATTTACTAACCTATCTGTTCGGCTTTTTCTCTCGATTTAGCTAATTTCATCAGTTCTTCGTGTAATCTTGTATTTTCTTCAATTTGTTGCCTGCGTCTAGCGATCTCCGCTTTTATCTTTGCTTTCTTTTCTTCTCGTGTCATTTGTTCGTCTTCGTCTTCAGATACGTAAGGAGAAGGATGCCAGGAACGAGGTTTCCTCGACTTTTTTTCTTTACGTTGTTTTTTTCGTTCCGTAGTCAAATAACAAGAATTTGAATTCTTTAACCAGGAATCGGATACGAATGGAGGAGTGGTCGAGATGTTTGCACCGTTTTCCGTTCTTATCCTGCAAAAAAGGAGTGGTAAATATTCGTATACTAATGCAATAATTTTCGAATATTTCACCTAAAAATTTCTTTAGAAATTCGTGCCCGGACTTCATCTGTGGAAAATTTAATCATCGAGAAACCATCGTCCCGAATCGCGGCAATTCAATTTTATTCAAATTCAAAGAATCTTGTTTACTGTCATGCATGGAATCCATTTATAATATTTTTATTTATATGAAAGGAGACGATTAGCGTGTAGAAAGCTTTTCAAATTCATCGAAAAAGGAGGAGGAGAAAAAAACAAATTTGATATATCGATATTTTAAATTCCTCTTTCGATGAAAAAAATAAGTAAAATATAAAACTGAAACGTAGTAGATAAACTAGAGAGAATAATCTTCCATCCCTTCACGCTTGGACTGTGGTTTCCATGGCGACAGTCGAAAGAAAACCAACCAAAGTGGCTGCCTGTTTGACCACCGAATGGTACCCCACTCCCATACATTATATTACGTATTTATCTAATCTTATTAAATCATACGCGTGCATTACAATTAACATTTATTAGCTTATAATTTTAATCTCAGTATGCAAACGATCCTCCTAATACTTACTTAGCCAGTTCTTCAGAGTATTGTTGAAAGTACTGTTCGATTTCCGTCCCGGTTGTCTCTTTAGATTTTTCTAAAGAGTTTAATTCTTCCATTTTCGCAACTTCTGGTTCGATTGGAGACGTCTTAATGGGTTTCGAATCTCCTTCCGACGATCTATCTTCTTTAATAGGCGAAAACGGTCTTAAAGATACGTCTGAAGTGTGACGACGTCTTCCTTTTCTCGGTGACGTATGAGGAGAAGTTTGTCTTCTGGCTATTGTCGAAGGAGCAGGAGTTGTATGTAATAACTTTCTGTGTGTAGCTAAGGTGTCGTATTGAAGTGAAGTGTCTTCTTGCCACGGTTGAGGCATGTAACTTTCTTGCTCCGTGTTTAGATAAAAGTCACGTTCTTTTCTTACTTCTTGCGCTCGTTTACGTTCTTCTGTGACGGCTTTGAGTTCATCGCGCAATTGTTGCTTTAAAGTTTTCATGTATACCGGAAGATTCGTACCCGCTCCGGTTATCTGACGAGATTCCGAGCCCAACAAAGGGCTGGGAGTTCGTAGATAAGATAAGTTTCCTTGAGACACGCTGAGCTCTTTCCTAGAAGCAAAACTATGCGCCGGTTCTGGCGAATAAGCTTGTCTAGTGGGTGATATGTTGCGAACATAATCACCGTCGGCGCTAGATGATCTCTGTTGAGGATTCAGTTTGGATTTCGATAGAGTATCGTCACTTTGCGGAACTTCCTCCAATGGAGTTTCTCCATTAGATAACAACTCTTGAGTGTAGAGAGGGGTTGCACCAGTGGAAAGTGTCCTAGTGCGGTCTTTCGATCGCTTAGTGCCACTTGGAATCTTGCCGTAATCGGCACTTGGCACTGATGGGAGTTTTCTACGCAGTTTGCTCAATTTTATGCTATCCAGTTCTAACTGTTCTTCCGTATCCTACGAAAATCATTTAAACAAAACAAATGAGCACAAAAGTTTTAAGTATGCAAGTAAAGAAAGAAAATTGAAGTACCTGCGCCAAAGAATATGATAAAGTTGTGAGTGAGTTAGAGACTTCTGATTGATCGGAAACTGCACTTTTATCCGGTGACAGTTCCGAAGATTCGGTTATGGTGATGTCAGCCGACTGAGAGGGTGCGACGGTCGTAATTGGTACGCTTTCGGCAGTCGAAGTAGTTACCGTACTGCTAATGTCGTGCAAAGTAACCGTACGCCCGTCATATTCGTCAGCATCCGACATTAAGTAGCTATCTATTGTTCTCCATGGCATGATGGGAGAAACGGGTCTCTGACTGGTAGTGACAGGAAGTGACGTAGAGCCAGTACTCACCGACGTCATCGCTATCGATTGTTTATCTCGAGGTCCGTGCGCAGCCATGGCAACGGCTGCCTGCATCTGTTCCATAGTGGGCTGGGGAAGACGTCTGGTGCGTCTCGGTGTTCCCGGTTGCTGCTGATTTCTCTGTTGACGTACCGGGTGATATACGGCAGACTCGGTAGTAACGGGAGCCACGGGGGTACTTACGGCCGGGGGACTTTCCGAAAGTGACTTTTCTTTCTTCTGTACGTCTTCGATGGGAGACGTGTCGAGAAGACCGAGCGCTTTATTGAAATCGGCCAGCATTCCCGAAATGGTGCCACTCGTCGCACGTGGTATATTGGATGACGTCGAAGTTTGATTAGCGTTACCTTCTGAGTCGCTTCTGTGTCGGAACTTTTCTATAAGTTCTTGTTCGGCCGCCTCTAGAGAGGGCGACACGTCGAGAATTGGTGATAAGTCCGACACGGGCGACCAGTCGGCAGTCTCTACTTTCTGTTTTACTTTTTTCTGTGGTTGTAAATCGATTGTTCTCGGTTTCTGTTTGTTCTGTCCTTGATTAGCATTGTCTTGTAGAGGTTTGATTTGATAATTTGTTCCTAATTGATCCGAAGACGAAAGACCGTTGTTATTTGTACTATCTCTAGACGACGTCAATTCTATTCGGTGGGAATCCATTCTATTTTCTGCGGCTTTAATGACACTCGAAGAACTATCGATCAGTTTAATTGGACTTTCTGCCAACTGTTCCGAATCCTTTACTTTTGATAGCGTACTTATGTCGGCACTCGTCCATTCTTTCGATTTATTCAATCGAGATAACGCGCTTAGTTCAACGCCCTTGGTTAGTTCTTCGGACACGTGATTTCCGGACAAATTTTCAGAATTTATTGACCAATCTTCGGTTTTTGTGATAGTAGTTTTTTCCAAGCCCGTTATCTGCTCTTCCCGCTTTTTGCCTCGAGTTATAATGCTAGAATCCAGACTGCTTCTTCGCTCATCGCAGATTATACGTCTAGATAAAGTATCCTGCTCTGCACTCGAAATCCATTCATCAGCGGAACTTCTGTATATAGGTTTTTCTTGCTCAGTTTTCCACTTTTCCGTTTTCATCATTCTCAAAGGACCTTGTTCCGTTCCCACTATTTGTTCTTCGGGTTTTCTACTCTCAGGTAAATTATTTTGGTTTGTTTCATCCGTACATTCTTCTGCTTCCTTACTTGGAAACGATTGATTTTCCTCTTTGTTCGATATCCATTCTTCCGATGTTTTGTTCTGAGACAAAATTGCTTTTTCCTTATTCCCTTCTGCTTTCTTAATTCTTGGCAATGTAGTAGCGTGAACGCTTGTCGATTTCTCTTGTAACTGAGTCTTGCAACTACTTTCTAATGGCTGCGGGGGCAAAATTGAAACAGTTGAACTTCGAATATTGTTAGCAGCATTCGATTTTGATGTGACAGTTACGGTGCTGATATTAGCTATTGTATTAGTCATACCAGACTTAGAAGACGTGGTAAGAATAACGTTGGTAGTCGTCGAAGATCTACTCACTACGGTGACATCCACTGATATTATGGGCCGATCCATGATGGGAGACGTTTGAGAGACAGTAGTAATTACCGAACTAATTACTGTATCGACTGTAGTAGTAGTAGTAGTAGTAGCAATTACGGAAATTTCTTTACTTTCGTCTTTAATTGGCTCTTTACTTTTAGCAACTCCGGGTTCGTGACTCGAAGTCACTTTTACCACAGAGGGTGCTTTTACGTGAACCTTTTTATTCGAGACATTTTCTGTGGGAGATTTTACTTTTGCGATTCTTTTCGGGGAAACTTCCGGTGAAGATTTCGCTTCGGCGTGTTGTTTTTTAACTTTTGTTTCCACGTTTATTAATTTTCTAGGCACCACAGCTTCCGATTTAGCCACTACTTGGATCGGTCTACTGATACGCTGAGTGCGATGAGGTGGGGCAGCATCACCATTTGCTGTAGTAACCGGTCTGGTTACTCGAACTATTCCATCTTTACTCTTTTGTACTCCTCTTGGTTTAGTCTCCGGTTGAGTGTCGTCCGTGACGACTACCTCGACGCTTTCTCTTCTCGTTTTAGCTGGCGATCGAATATGACATTTACCTGTAGAGACATATTTCAGTATCATAAAAATTACGATAATGCTCGTAAAGATAGTTTTATCTGTTAGTGATTGCTAGTCGATATTCCTTTATCATTTTCAAAGTAACTCCAAATATATATTTTTAAATTTATTATAATGTTTTGTAATTGCTTCTAACTAAGACAATACATCCTTTGAAAATTTATCTGATATTAATTAATTATAAAAATTCTCACTAAAAAACAAAAATTAAAAATTAAAGCAAATAATTGTAAAATTTATTATTTAATAATGATAAATTAATTTTATTTTATCATTAATTGAATTATTTATCGAATAATTAAGTTAATAATTAATTTGTACTGAAATAATTTTAATTAATTTTATATAATTCATAAATAAATTCACTTACCAACAATTTCTTCTGATTTTTCTGATTTTTTATGCTAAAATAACGGGAAAAACATCAACAATTAATTTATTAAATCTTCTAATTAAACTTAAAAAAAAAAACATTTTTTATTTATAACTTAAGACATTTTCTTAAAATCTCCCAAATTATAACCTTAAATATTATTTAAAAAAATTTTTTTTTAAAACTATTTAATAATTCAAAGAAAGACATTTCTTCTGCCCATAAAAATCAAATTTTATTTTATTTAGTAATATTGTTATAAAAATATTATAAGACAGAAATGAAGTTATAGTTCCTGGGTATTTTTTGTCAAAGAAAGAAAGAAAAAAAAGTAGTTCTATTTTGCTTTTGTCGGTCACCTGCCATTCTATTCTCTATTTTTGTTTTTAGTATCACTTTTACAATAAGAATATGAAATTTTAAGGACAGATGCCACATTAGATCAACAAGAAATCTAACATTTTTGCTATATATTGAAGCATATCTGGGGAGGTGAGAAATGTGAAAGAACGAAAATCTGATACTAGAATTTTTTTTTTTTTTTTTTTTTTATAGATATAAGTTACAACTTTATTATTTATCTCCATCGATTCTTAACTTTAAAAATAATATAATTAAATGTAAATTAATTAAATTAGTACTTGAGTTCACTAATAAATTTATTTCAAAAGTAGGCCTATCTTATTTTCATTTTTACTTTTCTAGCTGTTATAACGAAGAGAAAGTATGGTGATCGGTCACAAAATGATCCCTCCACTTACGATTTTTACATTTTTGGATTTAGAAGACATTGAAACGTCGAAAAATACAAAATAGTTTGGGTTTTTTTCTCTGTATGTATGGATTGGATGCTATAGCATTTGTGAAGTGACGATTTTATTCATCCATTTTGTAGCTTAATAACTCCTGTGTTTTTTGTCGAAATTTTCTGAATTTTTGCAGAGAGATTTGTATATTAGGGGCATTTATGCTATCAAATTTAGGTGGTTAAAGGTGGACGGGGTGGGGAGATAGAAGGGGATCGTGTTTTGTATCTCGAGTAGGGCTTAATGAAGATTTTACTCATTACAATTTTTTAAATAAAACTTATCTCTACTCTCAAAACTAATCTTTTTGGCATTTTATAATAATTAATAATATAAAACGTTTTTAAAATAAAATCTGTAATAGATAGAGCCATACAAAATTTTAAATTCTTTTGCCGGGAAAGTTACGCAACTCGTTGCCGAAGTTTTTCTTTCTTTTTTTTTTTTAGTTTTTTTGAGTTATATTGATTTAACTTCTTAAATATTTCTTCTCGTGTTTATTTTATATCTCAGTCTATCATCTTATATTTTCTAATTACTGAAAATGAAAAGTTTAATTTAAAATATCACCATTAAGTGTATATAATTCGAATTAGTGAATAGGAAAATTGAAGTTAAATTTGATTTAAAATCTCTCGATTAAAAAAAAATTTAAGAAATAAACTTTTTCATGCACCATTACTTAAATCAAGGATATTTGCAACTAAAAAAGAAACTCTCTTATTTGCATGTAAAGGTCAAATGTTTCAGGTCTGAATTTATTGATCTACAGAAAAATTTATGCTCGTTAATCTGTTTTATTTATTTATTTTAATTTAAAAAAAACAATAATAATATCGTGAATTAAGTACACTCTTCTCTATAATACAAAAATTAGTATTGGATAAAACAACAATTAATATTAATAAATAAAACAACATCAAGCAGCGATAACGTTTGTTATATTAAAATACATCATTTGTATAATGCATAATAATTTAAATTTAACACACTGCAGGTGCAGTTTCTCATGGAAGGTCGTATATACACAGTACAATGATCCTTAAAAAAATAAACACTGGAAAATATTAAAACAATACATTACAAATAAGAATTATTGAAAAGATTTAGATGCTATTAGAGTAAAAATATGGAAAGAAATAAAACAACATCAAATATACGTGTAACACGTCCATAAACAGACAATACTTTCGTATACCCACCTAGAAATAATCATTTTAATCAATACATAAATTTTTATAATCGTAATTTTATAACAATGAGAAACGCTAGGAAATATTCCACTTAATATTTGAAAATTAGAGTATTAAAAATGTTAAAGCTTGAAGAATATTAAGTACTAACGTCACCAAATATGCTCCTGCAAACGAACAAATATGATAGAGTTAAAAGGACCAAAAAATGTGACGAAAATAAAGCTACGTGAGAACAAATTTACATTAATTGAAGCCAGAATTTTCAAAATTATTCTTTTTTTTTTAAAAAATTTTGAAAAAAAATACATCGATTTATGCATTAACACTATAAATTTCTAACTCAATTCTTCTAAAAAATAAATATTTATTTTGAAACATTGCTTTATGCTTTATTTTATAGGAATGAACTTTAAAAATTTTTTTTAAAATATATATATACTAAAATTTAAATTAAATATTATAAAAAGAATAAAAAGTAATCGATTTATTTATAATAATTTTAAAATTTTAGAAATAATAATATAATTCTCTTGTCTCTTCCTCTTACATTAGAATTTGACACGAGCATTTTTCTTTTGAATGGAGTATCCATGACATGCTACTTACATACAGATATAATACTTAGAGGATTGACAAGCCATAGAGAGGATTAGCCACTATATCATTTTTCCTATCCGTAAATAACTTGTGTATAGCACTGTACACTAGTGGTTTGCAAGAATCGAGTCGACCCTGATTTAGTTACACGATAGCTACTTCAAGTGTAAGCGACTGTAGCTACAGAATCGAACAATTTCATGTAGAATTTCTAATTTTATATTATTTAACCGTACGTATTACAAAAAAAATATTTAATCCAAGCATTAAAAATTATTTTTAATATGTAAATAGACGAAAATGTGTTATAATTATCTTAAAAAACGTCGAGAAATGGAGGTTTTTCTTGTATGGATGGAGGTTTGTGTGTGGGGTGCAAGAATTTCTTCTCCCACTTTGAAGCTTAATAACTCCTATGAAATTTCTCCAAAATTTCTGAAATTTTGCAGGGAAGTTTGTTTATTAGATGCATTGATGCTATTAAATTTTGATGGTTAAAGATAGAGGGGATGAAGAGATAGAGAGGGGTCGTATATCATATCTGAAATGGAGTCGGATTTAATGAAGATTTTACTCGTTATTAGCATTAAAAAAAATTTTTTTTTAAATAAAACTCGTCTCTACCCATAAAATTAAGCTTTTAGTTATTTTATAATGATTAATAATATAAAAAGTTTTTAAAAATGAAATGTTATAACAGATGACGCCACACAATTTTAACTTTATTGCCGGGAAAGTTAAGCAACTCGTTGTTGGATTTTTTTTTTACTTAAAGATGCTATAGCATTCTATGTTAATTTTGTTTTCTTGTATTATTCATAACATGTTCATACAAACATTTTCCAGTTTTGTGATTTTAATCTGTGCTTATTTTTAAAAATAGGGAATTTATAATCAGGGCGAGTAGATATAAAATTAGAATTTTTAGCACCTTAATACAGTACAGTATTCATGAATGGGACTTTGTATTTGTTCTGGTTTGATTTACGAGGTTAGACGATAATAAAAAATTAATGCTAAATAAATATTTATGAATATTTCATTCCGTTTATTTTTTACAAAAAAATAAAAATAAATTATTATTTTTTGTTTGAAAACATCGCTGAAACAATACATTAATTTTATTAATGGACATTTGAATATGTTTCAGCTAAAATCAATAGATTAAATTATGTTGTAATGTTAAAAATCTAAACGAAATTTCGGATATTATATATTCGCGTGCATGTAATAAAGACTATTAACTGACCACAAACTTTGCTTACTAAGCATATTCTTTGCAATCACAGATTAATTCAGTAATCTCCTTTAAAGATAATAGTTCAATTTAGCATTGTTTAAAGTATTTGCATACGTAAGCTTCCTATTATTTGTATAATAATACTATTCAATACACTAGGGAGGGCTAAACCTTGTCACGATAGGAGCCAAAAATACGCGAGAGCCGCATCCTAAATTTGAACGGTAATTTATATATATATAAACAGAAGAATAGCACAAAAATCGGATCCCTACTTCTAATAAGGAGGTAAAGATCCGATTTTTGTACTATTTCTCTATGTATGAGAGCCACATTAAGGGTCTAGAAGAGCCTCAGTTTTGCCATACCATTGAAGATAAAAAAGTTATATTTTTAATTCAAAAAATATAGAATTATGTTCTATTCTAGGATTTTACTTTTCTATGGATACGTAACTGTAAACAAATAAGAATTTAATTATAATTTATGACTTCATAAAATACAATGAATTACCATGGAATTTAATTATCTCTATTCTTTAGCTAATTAGAAGTTATTATTCAGACATCGGACGTGAATTCTCTTACTAAAAGCAACGTATTTATGGATCTAAGATAAGCTTAGGAAATTATTGACGAAAACGTAAATGATTAATGTATTTATTAGCTTTCTCGAAGGAAGCGGGAGTAAATTCAATCCGAATATAACCTTATTTTCTCTTTTTCCCTCTTCGAGTTATCTTTATTTGCTTTGGATGGACGTATGATTTATATATTGCTCTTAGGCTTTGTTTAAACTTTGTTACAAAGTCGTAAATAATAATATTCTTCCATTATGATTTTCTATATTAGAAACCATAACTCATTGATGACTTCAAGTTTTCCTGTTTCTTTTATGACTCATATTTACTAAATGCAATCTCGATTTCCCTTTGATCTATCAATTAATCAGCACTCGCTACCCTTTCTTTTTTACATTCGTAATCGGTTATTGGCTCGTCTGCCAATATTTACGGATTGAGTTTTAACAACACACGACATGGAATGTCATCTGTAATAAAATCTTAACATTTTATTACGGATGACATTCCTTACATGTTCAAGTTTTAACTACGAGTGACAAGTCTTCTTTGTGGAATTTCAGCTACTCTATATCGTATAATTATTCAGGAATTATTTAATAGATTCAGCAT